ACGAACCAAACATATAAACTTTATTTCTTGTGTTTACACATTTCTATCCGTTGAACTCATGCAAATTATATGAGTTATTCATCCAATAAATACATGAAAAATTATTCTTTCACTTCAGGAGAAAACATGGCAGGAAATCCATAACTGATTCAAAGAGAAGTAATCGAGAACTATGACAAGAACTTCCGTCCATTGTACCAAGAAATTGTCTCGAAAACCGATATTTCAACATTGACATGGGCGCCGTTAATGTTCAGGTACCCCTGGAATATTATTTAGGGCATCTAAACAAATTAAACATCACAGTGGCAGGGGAGGCCATGCACGCCATGACAGCAGAACTAGCCCAAGGTGGAAATGCAGCTCTGGAAGATGCAGTGGTAGTTTGAAGAAGTTTCAAGAATTTCAAGAAAACAAGAAAGAACAGAGGAGAAGCAAGAACGAAGAAGGCGGCAAAAATGGGAATTTTTACTCAATGATTTGATAAACACGTGCTACAAGCCTATATACATGTTGAATATAAAACGCACCGTTTTCTACGTTAGTTTCTGTTTTTACAATTTAACCCAGAGTACGTTGAAGTAAAATACAGAACCTTTTTTTATTAACTTCTTCGTTTCTTCTACCCAATATTCCCCCTCGAAACTGGAACTCCTTTGTGACTTGCTGTTGCTGATCAATTCTTCATAATACTTGTAAGACTTTTAACAAACAAATTTATTCAACAACAAAAGACTACAAACAGGTCTGAAACAAAAAACTGCAAACAGCTCTGAAACAAAAACAACAACAAAAAGGTCTGAAACAAGCAATTTACTTCCAAAATTACCCCAAACTGCATTCAAAATATCCACCATTCAGGTAAACCCTAAACCATCAAAACTAATCATTCAGTCCCCAATCTGTTCTGAATTGTACTCAAAATAATCTTCATGAGCTCAAACAAGCAAGTTACTCCAAAATTACCCCAAACTGCTCTGAAAAATGCATTCAAGAGAACCATCATTGAGGGCATCTCCAAACATCAAAAATGGTGTGGAAAATTTGTTCCAATCCAACACCAAAAACTACACCAAATTGGTGTAAGTGAATAGTATCACACTAAATTTAGTGTAACACTACTCATCTACACCAATTTGGTGTGATACTATTCATCTATTATAAAATATATTTTATTTTTTCATTTTTGTTATTTGTTTATTTTTAATTTGTATTTATATTAATTTGATTATTATTTATATTAATATTTATAATAATCAATATGTAATTAAAAAAATGATGAAAATTAAAAATAAAACTTTATTCAATGCAAATATTAAACTACAATAACTCAAAATAAAAGTTAACACTCATTTAAAAACACTAAAATTAAAAGAAAATATAACATAAACTAAAATAACAATTTAGTATTCCATTGGATTAGTTTTGGATCCTCTAAATTCATCAAAATATTGGAAAGAACTAGAGCTTACTATAGACAAATCAAGGGTACGGAAGCTTACCATGCTCTTTCAAAATGTATTAATTAATCATTTGTGGGAAGAATATACTAATTCGGAAAATTAAATTATTATCAATATGGAATTTTACTTTTGTATTGTTGTTGTCTTTTTTTTTTTTTTTTTTTTGTGGCATTTTATATTAGATATAATTTTTTTATATATTAAATATAATGTTTATTCGATTAAATAAATGCTTAATTTTATTAAATTAGTATAATTTTCAAAGTTAATATTTTTTAATAAAAATATTATTTCCAATATTTAATTAATATATAAATAAATTCATCATTATAAAATTTATTAAAATGTCAATTTGAAATAAATAGAACACGGGCTTAATTAGAGTGCTTTAACCTAGTACACCCAGTGGGTCTTTGCCCATAAAATTGGGCCATGCAGAGCAGAGCAGACCAGTCAATACCATCACCTTAGCTTGGGCTGGGCTCGAAACCGGCTATGATCGAGTCATTTAGGACACAACCAAAAGCGAGGAGCAAGTGTCATTTAAGTCCATATATATATATATTTTTTAATTCCATTGATAATTAAATTTACTACAAATATTATTCATATACTTTAAACAATCAGTTTCTGCATCAAAGTATATCTCCTCTTAAATCTTATTTTATCAATCATCACTAAAAACAAACAGTCTTTAAAATCAATACCTAAATTCCCCCTTCTAGCAAAATAAATAGAGAAATGAAATTTCGTATCTTGATAAAAAAAAATTTATCCTAATACCTCTTCATTTCGAGTTATGTATCATTCTATATAGTATCACTTTATTTTGTATTACGTCAACTAATTATTTACAAATTAGTGTCAGTGTCACTTAGAAAAAAATTATCACTCGCGTAAGAATTTTTAGATAATACCCCAGGGATCTATAAATTAGATGTGCCGACTCACTCACTGCCGACGAATCAACTATATGATTTAAAATGAAGGTACTAAATGCTGTTGGGTGGAGAGGAGTAAATGCACTGAGACATTAAGGAGACTTTTTTGTTTCTGGTCCAAGCAGATCCTTCTTTCTCATGTAAATAATTACTTGAACAAAAATGATCGTTGGATCAATTCATTGATAAAATAGGGATATATTTGACTTTTTATAGGTGACTTTTCATAATAATTTCAATTTCATTTAATTCTCTCTCTCATCATCGTTAAGTCTGAAAATCAAATTCTAACGAAATATTTTCATAACATTGGATTTGTTATTTGATTTGTTACTAAGAACAAATCTAATATTTTAATTTAATTATATGAGAAGAGTTATTATAAACTTTGACTCATGTCAACAATTATAAGTTTAATTATAAGTTTAATTATAATCAAGACATTTGTGATAAAAATTCAATTTCAAACAATATCTTTATTGTTGCCTAAAATTATTTCCAATACCGCATTTTGCTCTCCTGATTCCATAGTCCCCTTTCAAACCGAATAATGAATAATGTTTTCCTTCCAACATGAAAATTAGCACTTATTACTAAACAAAACCATACCAAACGAAATATGAACACTTGGATTACAATGGTTGACTTAATCGAATTTTAAGTTTTCTGTGCATAGATAAAAAAAATCTCTTGTACAAAATCTATGAACATTCTCTGAATAGAGATTAATAAATATGTGAACACTTGAATAATGCAGTAGTGGAGCAATGCATAGCTCATAGCCCACCATTCATTGCCTAGATACCCTTCGACTATCTATGCAAAAGGATGCATTGATTCTCTGAATATAGATCAATAAATATATTAATATTTTCGTTCATTTTTAAAATTAATACAATGTAATTTTATTGAACAAATACAAAGAAAATGACTTTTATCATAATGACATGACATACTTATTTTATACGAGACTTTATACTTGATTACCTATATAAATATATATTAAAACATTCTATACGAGACTTTATACACATAATATTATATATATAGATATATATAACCATGATTTAAGGTGATTAAGAATATTTAAGAAAAAAAATACTTTGTTATCAATATTCAAAATACATATATAAAAAACATTAATATAGGGAAAACATTTTTTTACATCTCTCACTATTTTATCACCATAACATTCAAATCAACATATAAAAAATATTTTTTTATCTAATTTTCTCTTTTTTATCCACACAACATTCAGATTAATATATATAAAACATTTTTTATCCAGCTCAATCTATTTTATTTATACAACATTCAAATTAATTACGAAAAACATTTTTTATCCAACAGCTATTTTATCACAATATGAACTAGCATATTCATTTGTTGGCAAAAATGAGATAAAAGGGTGTGCCTTTTTATGAAAATGTGTTGAAAATTAATGTATTATAAACGGTTCTTACACTTGCAATAAGGGATTACACTTGCAACTTTGGGAGATAAAACGGGTACTTTTACATGTGTTTTTTTTAAAAGCAATTTAATTATTATAATAAATTAATTCCTACTTTCATAATGTCAATGGTGTAAGTTGTTTTTTCTCCAAAAAGCAAGGTTTAGGAGCCAAAAATAATTTTATTTTACTAAAAGGTAAATTTGTAAATTTACCTACCCAAAAAAGTTTTTGAGCACTACTGTTACTTAAAATACAAATTATGTTTTGCTTTAATTAACTATCAGTGTAACGAATCATATTATCAAATTTTGGATCTATTCAGCCTCCAAATAAATCACTTCCTATTGTATTTTCCAATACAATAAAATTTGATTATGTTTTTGTTGCTTACTGTTAGATGGTGCCGATATATTATTTATCCACACAATTGTTAACAATAAAAGATTACATCAAATATGTTCTACTTAATTTGGGTTTGTGCATGCTTTTTTTGATATCTCTAATATAATAACTAGTTATCAAATTGAGATGTGAGTGATAGTTGCCACAATAAATTTAGATGTGTGGGAGAGAGTTGTGGCAGGGTACTCATTAATGCTACAGCAATACTTGTACAGGTAATGTGATTAAATGATCAATTAATGCTTCAACAATCTTATAGTATGACATATCTCAACAACACAATATGGCACATTTGTTTGAATGCTAGACCCAAATATTGTCAAGGACATTAATTTAAATGCATGATTACATAAGTACATAACTAATTAAATTATACTCGATATATATAACTGAGAAAAAACGCATATTGCCGGTCTCATCACCTCACTTTGTTCAGGTGGTAAAAAACTTATGTGATAAAATTTCATCCACCTCATTTTGATAATGATGGCAGCTAATGGATGATAACGGGTGGTTATTCATAAATAATGATGATGGGTTGATGAAGGAGAGAATTTGATAGATCTGTGACAATATATATCATAAGACGGTCTCATCAAATCAACAAAATGAGATGGTAAGTTGCATGTTAAAATTAATTGTCCCATATTATTATTCCTCTATATAATCTTCTCAAGCATACATATGTTTACACAAACTCAAAGTACATACAATTCTCTCAATAGGCAATAAAACAGTATGGCTTTCATTGGCCTTTTCGAAATCTTCCTGGCAGTCATTTGCTTCTTCTTCTTCATTCTTTACTACTTCATCACAAACAACAACGGGTTGCCTAAGAATTTTCCAATAGTTGGAATGTTGCCAGCGCTTTTGCTTAACGTTCACAGGATTCACGATTGGCTCACAGAACTAATGCAGAAAAGCCAGTGCACTTTTCTCTTCAAAGGGCCTTGGTTCGCTAACATGGACATTCTAGCCACAGTTGATCCAGCTAATGTACACTATATAATGAGCTCAAACTTCTCAAACTTCCCAAAAGGAGATGAGTTCCGGGAAATATTTGATATTTTGGGAGACGGGATTTTTAATGTAGACTCAGATTTGTGGAGAAGCCAAAGAAAAGCTGCTCAAGTTTTGATGAATCATCAGAGGTTTCAGAAATTTTTGGTGAAGACCAGCTTGGAAAAAATAGAGAAAGGGCTCATCCCAATGCTGGACAATGTATCCAAGCAATGCAAACCAGTTGACTTGCAGGATTTGTTCCAGAGGTTTGCGTTTGATTCTACTTGCATATTGGTTTCAGGAAACGATCCAGGCTGTCTGTCCAGTGAATTCCCGGAAGTTCCATTTGCAAAGGCCGTGGAAGAAGCTGAGGAATCGATATTTTACAGACATGCTGTCCCAGAAAGAGTCTGGAAGCTACAAAGATGGCTAGGCATTGGAGAAGAACAAAAATTGAAAAAATCCAAGGAAGTTATAGACCGTACAATTCTTGAATATATACAAAAGAAAAGAGCGGAGCTGAGCGAAGGCTTTACAATGAAAGAAGAAAAAGAAGAGGGTGTGGATCTATTAACATCATACATAAATGAAGATTACAATTTCGGAGTCAAATCTGATGACAAATTCCTGAGAGATACCGCTTTTACTTTCTTGGTTGCGGGGCGGGACACAGTAAGTTCTGCTCTCACTTGGTTCTTTTGGCTTGTTTCCAGGAATCCACAAGTGGAAACCAAGATCAGAGAAGAGCTCAAGCTGGTAATCCCGGAGGACAAAATGGCGGAAAAATGGTGGAGATTTGACATCAACGAGCTAAAGAATAAACTTGTTTATCTTAATGGGGCGTTATGTGAAGCAATGAGGCTTTACCCACCCGTTCCTTTCCAGCACAAGGCGCCATTAGCAGCGGACATTCTTCCGAGTGGGCATCGCGCTGTTCCAAAGACGAAGATCTTGTTTTCCATGTATGCAATGGGAAGAATGGAATCGATATGGGGAGAGGATTGCTTGGAGTTCAAGCCTGAGAGATGGATTACAGAGAAAGGAGGGATCAAACATGAGCCTTCTTACAAGTTCTTTGTTTTCAATTCGGGACCAAGAACCTGTCTGGGAAAAGAAGTTGCTTTCACTCAGATGAAGGCGGTAGCAGCCACCATAATTCATAACTACAATGTTGAAGTAGTGGAAGGACAATGTTTTGATCCAAACATATCTGTTGTTCTTCAAATGAAATCTGGTTTAAGGATGCGAATATTCAACAGATGGGATGATGATCAATAGAATTCTAAGTGTTGTTTCAACTATTTGTAATTGTTAGATTCAATGTAATTCTCTACTGCAGAATCCAGGGTTAAGTGTTATAAATGTATCAGTAATTATCAATAAAATGAATGTTGGTTAACTTATAATACAGTCACTATATATACTCTTATACGTTTATCGGTTTTTATTACAAATTCTTCCTTATAATCTTACAAAATTCAATGATATTATTCCTAACTGCATCAGTTGCAATGTGGACGAAAGATCGGTTGCTAAGTGAAATTGTTGAAACAATTGATGGATATGTAAAGGAAAGAAGGTGGCCTTTTTTTTTTTTTTTTTTTTTCTGGCTTGTCACAAACTCATATTTATTTGGATGGGTTCATGAGAAAGGTTTAAATCGGTGGATAATATTGACGGAGATTATGTTTTTTTTTTTTCTTTTTTTTTTATAGGTTTTCTTTTTAATCACCGGAGGGTGTTTGAACCGGTTTGTATGCACTTCTACTAAATATTGATGGGTGGGGTTGATGACCCCACAAATTTTTTTTCGTTAATTTGGTTTGGTTTTTTTTTTTTTGACCACCCAATATTTGTATCAAAGTTTCCAAATTTAACTCTACTCATTTACTTTACTCCTATCTTATATTATATGATTTTGAATTTTCCTATTCCAAAATTAACTCTTGACTCTATCCCTGGTGACAAAGTGAGAGTGTTCAATAATATAATGGTACATATTATCACGTATTTATAAATTTTTCTTATTCATCCACCCATTAACATAATCCATAAATAATTACCTTTTATCATTCATTATTAATCACTATCATAAGAGGTAGTTTTAAAAATTAACCATATATATCTTATTTAATTGGACGGTCTCACCACATCAACCGAGTAAGATGGTGAGACTGTTTCATGTAAGTTTTTCTTATATTTCTAATGTTTGAATTAATATTTCAAAATTTCGTTTCAAAAGATGTGTCTTCATGAAAGATACATGACACTTTATTTGAGAAGTTTTGAAATATTATGTTACAAAATATAATATTATTCATGTAAAATTTCACACTTAAAAAATATTACAAACTAAATTTTTGAAGTTAAGTATCACAAACATATTGGCCCTGTGTACCCTGGTGGGTCTTGCCCAAAATATTGGCCCACACATACAAGACCAACACCCTAGCTTGGGCTGAACTTTAGACGGATCTGTTAGATCATTCAGGACAAAGGCGATTAAGTAATGGATAATACAAACCTTTTAGATAAAATCTGGTATGAGCTGATGTGTTTTAAGACGTAGGAAAACTTTAAATTTAAAAATAAATTAAATAATTAAAAGATCTTACATGACAAACACGTAAGGTTACCACATTAGTTTGTATAAATAATTTGTATATATAACATTATTGTAAAGTAAAACATCGTCGTATATATTATTGTTGTATCTTGTATTACATCAACTCATAATTTACACATTAATACTCTTAAAAAGGAAATATTACTTGAATAATTATTTTGAGATGTTATAGATATATTAAATTACCCTAGTGTAAGTCGAAGGTGGTGCCGACAAATTCAATTATATGATCAAATATTACAATTTTAGTCATACAATTAAAATGCTTCAATCGGTGGAAAACTAGAAGAGTTAATTGATGAAATTGAATGGTCATAAATTCAAACAAATTAAGCCTTTGGCATATTCGAATGGAAAAGCTGTGCTCATTTATGTTTATGGTCCATCCCTTCTTTAAATTAATTTTGTACAAAGATCTTTTTCCATATATATTGATGTGGAAGCTTTTAGGTCATCAGAATCAAAATAGAAACAAATATAAATTAAAGTTGTGGGTCTCCTATGATGTTGGATTTATAAGATTTTTTTTTTCATTTATTGGTTCATTAGGAATTTAATTATAATTTTCATTATTGTCAAATTATAAAAATATTTAGTCATTATTATCAAACGTTAATATATAAATCAACTTGTGATTAAATTTTTACGAGATTATGACATTTACTAATAAAATTATCTACCCGAATTAAAACCTTTCATACCTTCAGTCAACTCCAAGCTCCAGAAAAAAAAGGCTCCGTTTGTTTCGTTTTTGGGAATACTATTATTAGTATTTTCAAACAATAAAATGTTATTACTCCCAAAATATTATTATATATTTTTCAATTTCTTTTAAACCTCCTAAATTTGTTAATTTAACTAAACACCCCCAAATATTTTTTTTAGAAATTACAAAAAACACTCCGGCCACCCTTCGACGGTGGTGGTCGGCTGTCCGTATTTAATGGGTGGATTTGAGGTGTTTTTGTTAACTTTTAATATTTTATTATAGGGGTGTTTAGTAAATAAACAAATATAGGGGATATTTTTGTTAATTTTCAAATCTTACATCGTAACACCCACCCAATTTAATTTTTTTCAAAAGATTATTTTAAAAACTATCAGAATAATAAACCAAACGGAGGCAAAGAACTTTTCATTTTCAACTTTCTAGAATCACTTTTCTCTTTTCCACTTTTTGTTATCGCTTTCTAAATAGCAAAATTTTCTAAAAATTATTAAAATTCATGATGCTCTCCATTTAAAAAATTCACGTTTAGAATATATTTTTTTTTTCTCATTTAAACATATGGAGGCTTCCCAAAATTAAGAAAGAAATAAGGAGAAATAAATTGGTGTTTGCCCACAGAAATAATCCTTAATTTTTTTTTTTCCCTAAAATATTGAAATTATCTATTTTCTCCAACAAAAAGAGGAAAAAAGAAAAGTAAAGATAAATAAATTTATAAACAAAATAATTAAGGTATTAATCATGAGGGCTTAGCCGGATGGTCAAGACTTGTGGTTTGCTCTAGTTTCGAAGTTATGTTTGCAAATTAAGTGTAGAAAGATTTACGTTTTCTTAAAAAAATTAAGTAATTAAACTTGAATACAAGCAAATAAAATACTTGTTTCTTCATATTGATTTAAATGCCTTGGCTGGAAATTGTTGGTGAAGATATTAATGGAATTGCAGAAGTTGCTGCACATGCATGTGCCACCATGTCCTCAATTAAAAGCCACAGTAGTTGGCAGTTTTAACAGTTAAGCCTTAAAATCTGCATTAAAATTCTCATCTAATCTCCCCTCTTTTTTTTGCTTTTTCTTAAACCAAATTTTGCCTTTTTTTTTTTCTTTTTTTTGTTTGGCAAGCAACTTCAATTCAAAACCACACCTTTGTCACTTTCTATCCCCATTCAGTTGCCCACTTAGAAAAGTCCCTTTCAGACTGCCCAACAAAATATATTGTCAAACGGAGAGCAACGAAATTCAATTTTATTTATCAAAATAATATAATTTTGATAAAGTAAATAAAAAAGAATGATGCTAATCATATCAACACGAGAGTATTATCCACTCAATTTTGACGGGTTTATTTCATTTATCTCGCGTGAATTAATATGAGAATCTTATGTGTTTGGATTATATGGTTTTTTTTATGTTTTTATAAAAAGATTTTCAATATTTTTAAGAGATTTTTTTTTTTTTAAATAACAATAGGTGCATTTTCGTGTAATTGATGATAAAATAAAATAAAATAAACATAATCTATAAAATTATAATGGTAATCGCAGTGAAATATATATCTAAACTAATTTTTAAGTGCGGATAATAAGAATTGAAGTGTAGTTATAGTGTTACACGTTATTAATTTGTTAACACATAGATAAATGTTTTAGTTTTTTTTTTTTTTCAAATTTCTAGAAAAATTTATTTGTTGTCATGGGAGTGTAAAATTATCATGATGAATTCTGCCTCTTCGCTGGCCCACTATTATTGACAAAACAGTTACATCAAGGCAGTTCCCGTTCCAGTTCCCTCGTTTACTTATATAGACACTCTAGTTTCTTCTTCTGTACACGCCACACATCACATTTCCATTCTACCCAACAAGAGATCGCGAAGGAGAGAAGAGAAAGAATGGCGAAATCTCCAGAAGAAGAGCACCCACACAAGGCTCTTGGTTGGGCTGCCAGAGATAGCTCTGGAGTCCTTTCTCCTTTCCCTTTCTCCAGAAGGTACTTTTTTTGTTTTTTTTTTTTTTTTAAATTTTTTTGGTTTATATTTTTGTCCCATTTTGTTTTTTTTTTTTTTTTAAATTTTTTTGGTTTATATTTTTGTCCCATTTTGGCATACTTGGTGTGTATTTGCTATATCTTTGAGATGAGATTGTATGCATATGATCTTTGGAGCTTCGGTGTTTGGAAAGATCAATTTTTTATGTTTGAAGGTTGCTGCTTTATGATCTTATAATATTTGTTTGTATAAAAATCATTTCTTCGAATGACGGACATGTCCTTTTATGTTGTATTTCACATGATCTGAATCGCTGTGTTACCAGATGATTCTTTAAGAAAAAAAATCCTGGTAATGTTACCGGAATGTTGTGATGTTTTTGTTTAACTTCATATATATTTAATGTGATGTTGTTTATCAGGTCTTATTTTTGTACCAGATCGGTAATGTTATTGGTTTCCGGATTGGTTGGTGTCCTAAAAAAGAGTGCATTGTTCCATTTGATAGTTTGCTCGCCAGGACTAATAACATGATAGGTTTAGTACTTTAACTACTACTTGAATGTTATCAGGTTGCATGTATGCTTAGTATGACGTTGTGCGTTACTAAAATTTGTTCTATTGATGTTACTGGTAGCGTAGTATGACCCATGAATGATCCTACCTATTCTATTTTAAACAATTTCGTGCATTGCATGGCTTAAATTGAGTTTTGTTATGTTGAATGATCTAACTAGTCCATTGAAGTCTGGTTTGTGTGCGACTGGATATGTTTGGTAGTAGCAGTTGGGCTTGGAAATGGAGTTTATAGTTTTTTTTGGGGCAAATTAAGCCAGTGTCTGCTTTGATGATGTTAATTTGGTTGTTGTTATATAAAGGTTTCTTTATTGTTTTATTGGCAGAGAAAACAGCGATGATGATGTCACTATCAAAATCCTTTACTGTGGAGTTTGTCATTCTGACTTGCATTCTTGCAAGAATGAATGGGGTGTTTCTCGTTACCCTCTCGTTCCTGGGTATGATGCTATTTATACTTCAAAGCGTAATCTTTAACTTATATTATACTATCCTTAGATCTTTGATTTTGATGCAACTACATAGAAATTTTATGGAGTCAGAGTCTTTAGCTCTCAATGCCCCTGGCTGTGTTGCAACGTATTCTGTTATGATATGTGGTTGAATAATTTTGTATTATTTGCTATGTCTGGGCCTGGCTTGGTGTAAGTCAGTTATCGGTGCTTATAAATGTGAAACTAAGCTATATAGTAAGTACCTACTTAACAATTTATGTTGCTCATGGTAATTTAAGCAAATATTTTATAAAGGAGGTAGTTACTCTGATTACTATATGGAGCATATCCTGATTTTGCACAGTTGAATGCTCGTATCATTATCTTCGAATCTGATTAACTTTTTGTGGTTCACTTGGATTTTTCTTCCGTACTTGAATTGTGTCATTCCACTCTCAAGCATCTAAATCAAATCTCAATCTGATGAAACAGAGGAGCGAGGAAAAACTTTCCTCCACAGTTATGAATTTGGACTCTTTTTACCTTCACTTATTCATCTACCTCTTGTATACTTTGTCAGGATATGCAGCAGAGTTTCTGTATGCTGGAGCATATTGTGTATTTACTTGCAGATATATTAATAACGAAGAATGAGAGTAATTGTTGATGATTTATTTTGCTAGGATTGGTATATTTGAAGCTGAAAATTGTGTCACAGTTGAAAGTTGGCTAAAAAAGTATTAGCTTATTAAATGGACTTGGAATATATGTTAGTCATTATCGATGTCATTTTATTAAATACTATTACCTGTGCATTGTCCTTACTCGACATAAGTTGATTGGGTCAAAGCATGTGAAGTCATGAATTGTCAAATTGCATGTCTACTTATCCTGGCTATTATTGTCTTTGAGAAAGGTGTCTTTACACCATGAAATTAATTTTTTTAGGATAAAGTAATGTGAAGTTATCTTTGTGATCTCTCTAAGTTTTGAAATGTGTTTTAGCTTGTGCATGGTTGAGGACTTTATATGATAGTATATCTGACTGTTCATCTGCAGGCATGAAATTGTTGGTGTTGTGACAAAAGTTGGGAAAGCCGTGATGAAATTCAAAGTGGACGACAAGGTTGGTGTCGGTGTCATGATTAGCTCTTGCAAGAAATGCGACTGCTGCAAGCAGGATTTAGAGAATTACTGCCCTCAGATGATGTTAACCTATAACTCCATTAATCATGACGGAACGAAAAATTATGGAGGTTATTCTGATATGATCGTTGTTGATCAGCACTATGTGCTCCACTTTCCTGACAACATGCCCCTTGATGCGGGTGCTCCACTGTTGTGTGCGGGGATAACAGTATACAGCCCAATGATGTATTATGGAATGACTGAGGCTGGGAAGCATTTGGGTGTAGCAGGCCTTGGTGGACTTGGGCATGTTGCTGTGAAAATTGGTAAGGCCATGGGGTTGAAAGTCACCGTCATCAGTACCTCCCCAAAGAAAGAGAGCGAAGCAATCAATAGTCTTGGAGCCGATTCATTCCTTGTTAGCACTGATCCTGCAAAACTTAAGGTAACTAAAGTTGGTACTTTTTTATTTTGACTGATTAAATGATAATTTGATTACTAAAATAAAGTTATCTTTTTGCTTAATTTCCCAAATATCATTGATTTTTGGCCTAAGGAGGGTCTCAAAAACTGAACTTATCTTTTTGTTGTTTATGACTATGGTAACGAAAATATGCTGTTGATAGATAGCTTATCCTGTATTTTTGTTTGCAAACCGATGTTGTCGTAATCATATCAATCTCCAAAAACCAGCCCCCCCGAAATCAATTGTATGATAATATGGTTGTTAATGAATCACTGATAGTTTGTGTTTTCCGTCATGCAGGCAGCCACGGGCACCATGGATTTCATCATTGACACCGTTTCTGCAGTTCATCCCCTGCTTCCGCTACTCAGTCTTTTGAAGTTGAACGGAAAACTGATCACCGTGGGCTTGCCTGAGAAACCTCTCGAGCTGCCTATTTTTCCTTTAGTCTTGGGTAAGTTACATATCCGAAAGCACCCACCCTAAGTAACTAAATTATCATCTCTAAAATATTGATCCTTCTTTCAAATCTCATGCCTACTGAATCCTAGCTTTAGGATAACATGTAATTTGACATATTCTCTGCTTCAAAAAGAAGTATATCGTGCAAAACTTTAGACAGATTACATCTCTTATCTACACACTTGCCTGAAATTCATAAAATTGTATAATGTCATGCTACAGGGCGGAGGCTTGTTGGGGGAAGTGACATAGGAGGGATCAAGGAGACGCAGGAAATGCTTGACTTTTGCGCCAAGCACAATATTACTGCAGATATTGAGCTGATCAAGATGGACCAAATCAACACAGCCATGGAGAGGCTGGCGAAATCTGATGTCAGGTATCGATTTGTGATCGATGTCGGGAACTCCAAGTTGTAGGTTGGTTACAATGCATAGCCTGCTACGCTCTTTTATCCCGTGGCCTAGATATATATTAGAATGAGTTCAGTTTTATGATTTGCTATATGTTATGGAAGTGGATGAACAGAAAAGATAATTTTTGTCTTGGACTTTTATTGGCCCTTCTGTTTGGTACTTGAGAGTACAATTGTTGTTACCTTGTTGCCTTTATGTTCTATGGCATCTTGTTCTTCGGTATTATGCTTTTTTTTCAAAGTCGCTATAGACTTCTCTTGGATCTTAAACTTGAATCTGCTACAAGGGTTGTATTCAATCCAAATTGTTGTTCGAAGCTATGATATATTAACCCCATCAAGTTATTCTGTGTCATTTATGCTTTCTTCAGTTCAACTTGAACCTTCCCTTATCTCCATTATTTTTATGGAAATTACACCAGTTTCATTTCCTCACTATCTTGATATTTATTCTTATGAAAATTTATTTTTATTGATCATTATTATGAGTAATTATAAGGATGGACAAACCTATGCAAAGAGACTTCAATTTTCTACATAATCTATACCACATAATTTATAAATGAATGAATTTCAGTTTGAACCATGGTGGAAGAAACATTTCTAACCATAAGTTTCTATGGTTAAGTTTATTTGCAATGTTTTAAAACTCAACTCGGGGTGAAACACGTCAAAGATGTCAGGTCTTAGGTTGATCGGTTTGATTGGTCGGTCAAAATCGGGTGACAAAAATTTTTAAATTCAGCAAATACACCCCTAAAAATTTTCTAAGTCCCTACAGGTTCGAAATTTAGCAAACACACCCTAAATACATATCAGCGGTTAACTTGTTGGTGGCAGTGACACTCCAAATGCAATCCCAATCATCCCTTGAGCCTGTTTCCCAGAAAATCAACCCAAGATCTGGCCGAAAAACTCCCCTATGCCTCTCAACCAAAACCCACCTCACCCCATCCCTGTTAGCCTCGCTAATCGCCAACAAAAGTCAACTGTTGCTGTTTTTTTTTTTTTTTTTTCACGCATCAGAAATTAACTCCATTGCCACCATGACCCTCACTAGCACTTTCTCTTCAAAAGCCCCAACATTTTGACCTTCGATTGTTTGTCGGTTATCATCCCAATTTTTAGGGTTTTTGATGAATAGTGAAATGGGTAATCCAGCCTAGTGAAAGCTCTGGGTCCTAGTTGTTGTTGTTGTTATTATTATTATTATTATTATTATATGGGGCATTTTTGTCCAAATAATTCATTAATGAGGTTAAAGAAGTCATTAAACAAGTTGGGTTAATTGTTATTTAACATCAAAAGGAGGACTTTTGTGTTTGAATTTTTATTAAGCAAAGGTAAAATTCGAACAAAAATAAGATTATCACGGTAATCTCAAAATACCACATTCTGAGTCGATAATCACATAACCCCCTATAGGTGCGTTTGGATCATATAATGTTTTATTATAAGAGGATGTTATATTAATAGAAAAATAGATCACCTTGAAGATTACTAGGAATGTTTAGGAACATGTGTTTGGTTGGTTGGTTGGAATAAATTAGTAAGTATATTATATTTATATGTTTAGTTGGGAGGATAAATGAGTGGATATGATATATAGATTACTAAATTGCCTTTCCTTTTAAATATTAATATAATATTATTTTTATTATTATAAAAATAATTTATTTTAACCCCCTATATTTGAAATTTTGCTAAAACACCTCAGCAATACAAAATTTTAATTTATAGCAAAATCAACCCCACCCACCCCAAGCCACTGCCAGCAACCAGCCACCACTGTCGGCCGCCATCGACAATCGACGAAATGGCGCATGATCAGTCGTATATGGTCAGCCATGCATTGGTAAAACCATTTCCAGCCATGGATCATAGATTTATGGTCGTTTCACGACCAAAGATGTGGCCATGAAATGACCATGGAAATGGCCTTAGTGGTGCACGACCGGTTAGATCCCACTGGTCGTGCGCCACAGCGGTGGTGGTCGGCGGTGGTCTTGGGTGGTTGGGGGTACTTTGTTAACTTTTAATAATTTTTTTTTTTTTTTGGTTGAGATGTTTTAACTAATTTCTCAAATGTAAGAGGGTTGGATTAATTGTTATTTAATAGACATTTAAAAACAATTGTGTTTGAAATGGTATTTAATTAAGGATAAAATATGTATAAAAATCAGATAACCCTGGTAATCTTTTAATTACAGCCCATGAGGAGAGTATTTGATTACCCCCTGTATTATTAATAGTAAACACTATTTATAATAAAAGATATTTATAATATTTTATTACTTACAAACCAAATAACATAATCTTGTAAAATAAACGAAGACTACCCATTTACAATAAAAGACACTCCTAATATTAAAAAGAATTTACTTGAAGTTTTTATATACAATTGACTATTAAAAACTTGATTGATTCATTCGTGGGAGCAAGAGAAAGTGCCAAATGGTTATTGATTAATGAGGTAATTAGGCTCATTATTAAAAGGATCTTTTGACATCTGGCATGAATCAAGATGATGAAAGCATGGTCAGAATAGTAACAACAGATGCACATATGGCTTTTCCAGCCTAAGGGATTTATATGAAGTAATCTCAATAGATTCATTTGCTTGATGAATTCTTCTAAATCTTAAAGTACATATTTAAATCATGGTTTTTTATATAATTTATGAGAATCGGGATTTTTGTAGAGGAAAACGTATAGAAAAGGGTTTTGTTCTATTAAAAAAAGAAGTAAAAATTGAAATTTTAGATGTCTTATAATTGGTTGGTTATATTTTACGAACCGTAATTTTTTTGTTTTCTGTTTTTTTTTGGGTGTTAAGACATATTTTTCATACAAAAATAATCAGGAGGAAGTCTTCTGTGCATTATCATACAATTAGGTTTTGCTTTCTTATTCGTGGATTGACTGACAGCCAAGACGCAAAATAATATATTTTTCATTAACTAAAGGAGTAGACTAATTGCCTATAAATTTGTTAAACTCAAATATTCAGACTTTTGTACACTTTTTCTATATATGCGCACCAATCTCAACTCTCAAAGAGTCGGAAACCGATTTTCATGTGATTCATCATGCAAGAATCAACCTAACTTCCTGGGCTATTCTTCTTCTTCTTTTTCCTTCTTTTAAACTGTGCTAGGTGTCTCATTCTCAGCTAAGCTAGATTTGTTTCGGGGTTCCACTCACATATTCCAAATTCTTGTTGTACTTAATTTACACGCATGTTAAGAAGAATGTATATAATGGGATCTGTAGTGCAGTTTTGTTCAAGGGGAGATGTTAAGAAGAATATGTATAATGGGATCTGTCTGCAATCTTTACAAATTTCAGTTTAGTAATTAGATGTACTTTGTAATCTTTACAAACAATGATGTTACTTCTGTAATTTGTAAAAGAGCAGCTAATACGATGCGTTTTGTAATAAGGGCAATATAAATTAGCCTGCCTAGTTTTTGTTTTGGCAGTTAGTGAAAAATCAAGAGTGTGTTTGGTTTATTATTTTGGATAGGATTTTGAGAATAATATTGGGTAGTTGGATAGGGGAGTATTACGAGGTAAAATTTAAAAATTTCTAAAAAACCCCATAGGTTTGCTAATTTAATTAAACACCCCAATATATGAAAATTTTGTAAAATGACAAAAACACCCCCATCACCCATAGTGCCAGATTCTGGCCACCACCGCTGGAATCTGGTCGAAAAATTGCGTTATGAGAAAGACTAGTTAGATCTGTGTCGTAACGCGTAGATCTAGCCTTTTTCTATCAGATCCACCACGGATCTGATCGAAAAGTGCCAGATCTATGGTCAGATGTGGCCATCGACAGCCACAAAAGTCCATCGTTGGCCGTCAGCGACGTCCAAAGTAGCTGACGGCTAGATCTGACCTTTTTCGGTCAAATCGATGAATTACCGGTCAGTGCTGATCGTGGTGTAAGCCGTTGTGATATATTCTAGTAACCACCGATGGTGATTGTTGGAATCTAGCAAGTATGGGTGGGTGGGGGTGTTTTTGCTAATTTTTAAACTTTTTTGGGGTATTTAATGAAATTAATAACTTAAGGGGTCTAAAAATGAATTAAAAGATATAATAATATTTCTCAAATAATACTCCAAACAATATTTAGGAAATAGTATTAAGAATATGGATAATAATATGGAACCAAAGGCACCCCAAGTTTCCAAAACACTTTCTACTTTACTCTTTTGCTTTTCTTATTTGCGTTTTCCTTTTCTTCGGTGATTCTGAAATTCTTCAACCATCAATATCTGCATATATTTATATGCTATAACTTTAAATATAGTCTACTTTAACCTTTTATCTCCTATATATTCTTGTCTCATCTCGGCCAAAAATGGCATCGATATCTATCGGGGCACTTTCGTGCTTGCTCTCTATTTTTCAGCTCATCAATATGGCAGACCAAGCCTCATTTGCTTCGGGAGCTATTGATCCCACCGAGGGTTTTGTCTCCCTTAAATTAAACCCCGCAGATTTTTCTGTACAGAGGCCGTATGATGTGCCCCAAGATGAGCGATACAGCTTCCAAAATGGGATTCACAAACTGTGGGTATACTCCACAGACAAGCCTCACTCTCCTACCAGCAAAACTAAGCCACGAACTGAGATCCGTATACTAGTAAGCAAAAGCATATAAAAAACTTATATTTAATTTAACTTCTTGAAAATTTGATTCCTGTTAATTTAACTTGCTGTATTTTAAGCTTCTTAATTTTACATTGTTTTATATTATCTTAAAATTAGATTTTTGTATTTTTTGAGTTGGTTTTCTATTTATTTCTTATTTGATTTAGAGTTGAATATAGACAAAATTGTCATTCTTTTTAATCTAAACCCTCTCTTATTAGATAGATTTCTCGTAGTATAAAAGAAATTAATGATGCTGAATTGATAATGCTGTATATAATAGTATATATTTGTTTATATAGTAAATGACATTTATATCTTTTATGATTCTTCAATAGTGGTCTATCTTCAATTTTCAGGGACATGACTATTCATCTGGGGTATGGCAATTTGAAGGTTACGGCTACGTCCCAGCTGGAACATCAGGCGTCTCCCTCATGCAAATATTTGGAGCTAGCCAACATGCCACAACCCTAATGGTTAGGGTTTACGACGGTTCACTCACATACTACAGGGACCCAGTCCTGGTCCGAAACATCTACAACAAGTGGTTCAGGCTAAATGTGATTCATGATGTGGGCAAATCTGTTAAGGTTTATATTGATGGAATTCTCAAGTACGAAGGTCCTGATCGTGG